TTACTTGAAAACTGCACCTGGTACATTTGCTATTTTGAGAACAGTGAAAGGATTATTACAGGTGGTTTAAGTTCAAAACCTCCATTTACACATCCCCTCTCCATTTCTATTTTGTGGCCCACTATAACATCAGACTTTTTTCTCCAGAATTGTTGCCTAGCCAACAACTACTGCAATTATATAACTGATTACCACTACTTACGTACACTCACGTTTCCTACTGAATTTGTTTCTCTTTCAGAATTTTTCTAATTCATAAACCCCTTCCGAGTTTCAATTCCGTCTTTGAAGGTATTTAAATTATCTCCAGATGATATAATCCACTAATTTATTGAACATTCTTTATATTCTTTATCAACAGAAATGCTAGAACAGCACCAGCAGCAACATAGGCTGCTATGCAACATCAGCAGCTGCATTTTCTAGTTTGACAGTGAAAGATGGACAGCATTTTTCTGAATAGAGTCTTATCAGTTTTGCCATACTTTATAACCTTCCAGTGAGGACATATCTCCCTGTTTGTTTGCAAAATGTTACATTAAAAACTTGATTAAAGTTACGCAGCATCTATTTTGTTCCTTTATCCTGAGTCTTGATATATTGCTTTTCAAGAAAATTGTTTCAAGATTATGCATTTCTAAGTTCTTGCCCTTGGCAGCTGTATATCACCTCGTTATCTCCTAGAAGCTAAATATTATTACAGGATGTATTCAAATTTTGTTCTGTTTGTTTTTATACAAATTGAGCAATTCACACAATGCTCACATTAAGACATTAAGTTTTAACTTATTTTGTGTTTTGCTGTCTTCTTTCATGTATTTGTGCTAATCTTTTGCATTTATCTATAGCAACATCTTCTCCCTTTCTTGTTTCATCTTTTTTTTCTTTTTGTTAAGGATTTCTGACAGTCAAATTAACCTCTTACTATGCTCCCTGGATTCCCACTGCACTGGCATAACTTCTTATTGTGTGTTCTTTTATTAGTTTGCAAAGATGATAACCATTTATCATCCAGATTGTATCAGTCATTTTAAAAAGTACTCTGGAGTGAAATTCATCTGTTTCTATTTATCTGAGCATTTCCAGCTTTTCACGTATCTTTTCAGAAATTGCTTGCTTGCTTGAACTTTTTCTCCTCTTCAGTGGACTGTAGTCAGCAAAACTTTTTGCGTGTTTGTGTATACAGAAGAAAGCTGATTTGAGGTCCAAGTTATTCCATGGACTTCAAATATATATGTCGCCCCCTTTCCCTACCATCACAAAATTCTATTCTGTGAATACGATGCAACTAATCTCCTAGATTAGCAAACAGTGTTTCTCTAGTCAGAATCAAATCTGAAGAGTCACTCTCAGATTATATCCTTCATGAGCCAAACACGGTGCTTTCTAATTTGTATGAACACTTGTATGGTTTGAGTCCTGCCACGTCATCTTCCACATTTATTATGAAGAAAAGATTAGGTAAAAAAAGGACTCCCAAACACGTGAGCTAGGAATCTTTCCTCAAAGTACAGGGCTCCCCTTTCAGGGCAATTCATTTGTCACCTGCCATGTCATGTTTTCCTTTTTTTAGGCTGTCTGCTACTCTTCGGTGTGAAAGTATGATGAAGTTTTGCTAGCAGACTTCTAATTCCACACGATGCTCAATGGAGAGTGTTCAGCTGACCACTGTGGCAGGTTATTCTCTTTTAGTTTTGCCTCAGGAGCTACTATGGGTAAGGTACTTCTCTCACTCACTTTGGTTACCCACTCTGTCTTTTCCTACTGTTCATAATCTCCACCTTGAAACCTGTATGTCTACTTAACCTGAAAGTGTACATTATTAGGCACTCATAACCTTTACTATCATTCTGCAAAATCTATTACTTTTCATATTTACCATCTAGTTTAACATTCAACATCCAAAAGTTCTACCAACTTCTATCCAATCATTTGTTTCTCCCAGAGCTTACGCAGCTTCCTAACTGGCCACAATAGAGATCCTTCCCTGGTGTTACCCTCTGGCATCGCCTTGCTTCAGCCGCGGTGAGAAGGGCTCTTTGCTGGAGCTGTTTTCGTTTAGTTTAGTTTTAATTACAGAACCATCCTCTATGATATGCCAGCACGATAAAATCTGCAACCCAACACTAGCAGCATTAGTCTGATCTTGAGCTTTGCATAGAGCTGCCTCACTGGGACTGCTCATTAATTCAACAGGTCCAGCTGAACACAAGAGAACCAGATACATCTCTGGTCAGAGGAAAAATCCTGCCCTAAACTGAAGGTACAGCAGCTGTCATTCTTTGGGAGGGAGAAAGTTTTGTGTTCCATGATTCTTGAAACAGAAGACAGAAACAAAATTTGCCGTACATGATATTTTGAAGGAATTAAATTTATGACTAGGAACTCCCTAATACAGGATGATGGAGGGAAAAAGTGAGAGTCCAGCTAGAAGGGCACGCTGCCTAAACAGATCAAGAGAGCTGCTGAGCACAAGGAAGTCATTAGGAAACCAATCCCTGCCAAATCTATTCAAATCCTCCCACCACAAACAAGAGGCTATCATCATTAAAGAAATAAGCAAGATAAACTATGGTGCTAATAGGCTGAAATAGAAGAAAAATATACTTCACAGTATTTCAGTGAGAACTGTTCTCTTGTGGTTTTTGTCTTTGTTTTTTTTTTTTCCTCACTGTATCTTTAGGGGTACTTAACAGCCTTAACTGAAAGTATAAAATTAAACTATTAACTTTTTTGAAGTGTGTACATTTATTAAGCTAGACAAGTTTGACTAAAGTTTCAGAAAGTTAATTAAGATTTAATATTAAATGTCTAACATAAGGATGACAGGACCTAAGATTTGCGTGAATAAAAGCAAAAGAAATATAAGGAGTGTCATCTTGACATTTTACTTATCTACATATTTGTGAAAATGTCAGTCTTCGTGTGCTTCAATTTTACACAGCTTTGTAAGAAACAGAGCTTTTCCAGTGGGCTGTTAGTGGAAGCAAAGTTGTTTGTTAGTTACACCAGTCTTTAAGACTAATTTTCAGCTATATTTGAAATGCAATTTAAATAATTTGTGCCTCTATTATTTTATCTTATAGTGAAAATAAAATTAATCTCAGTTTGATATATAGTTATATATCAGGTTAAATTAAACATTTTATCAATTTCACTTCTAGAAGACTGAAAGATAACTTATTAAAAGTTATCAGATACATTCTTCAAATGTATCACACATGATAGGATAGGAGCACACACATGATTCTCATGCACATTAGGTTGCTACCATGTCCAACCTTTTGGGAATGTCAGAGATGTGGAATCTTTTTCTAAAGAAAAAAAAGCTATCCAATAATTGCTTATTTTTCTTTCAATTAATTCTGTTAGATTTATAATTCAATACCAACTAGAAGAATCAGTAATGCAGAATGAAATAGGTAGGTACTTGGGTAGGATAGAAAAATAATTTTGATTAAATAGTATCTTTACTGTAGTGTCATATAAACAGTGTCTTTTAAAAACATTGTCTTTTGATTAAATTGACTTTTTTTTTTAGATTTTGTATTAAGAATACCTGTCCTTTAGATATTGCTTGTTAAATTAGTTCTGAGACTAATCTTTACAATAGTAAAATGGATAAACTTAATTATTTTCTTTTTAACCGCCCTAAGAATGTACTAGATAAAGCAAATAGCTGCAAGAGGTGGGAAAAAAAAAAGTTGCTCATTTTCCAAGAGAATGAAATCCTGTTAAATACATAGGTGTTGTTAAATACATGGACTAAAACAAATGTTAGCATAGATATTTGTCTAAAGGAACGAGGAAACAAAACTAGAGTATTAATTTGCTTATTTCTAAAGTGCCAACAATGTGTACGAAGAACAAATGCAGAAAAATGCACCACCATTCCATACAGATATTTAAACTTATTCTTTATGACACTTGCCTCAAAATTTGAGTTACCAAGTATCAAATTTCAGTCATGCAACATCAATTTACTAAGAAATACATATTTTGGTGAGAAAATTAAAATCTGTACTTATGTAAAAACTGTTCTGAAATAAAAATAAAACAAGATTTATTTTTTTTTCCAAAAAAACATCATTTCTGTCATAATGGAGTAATCTCAAAAAAAGTATTTTCCTGCATGAGATAAAGGAATTTAAATATATTTAAAAATGGAAGATTCTGCATTTACATAGTTATATACCATTGATTCAGAAGATCTGTTTTCTGGCAAAAAACTTCCCATGCTTAGAAAACGCACCGTAGTTTATACTGTACATTACAACATATGGTAGTAAGAAACAGACGTAGTAAACAGGTTATATGCAAAGAAAAAATTTACATTACAAGACAGTTACAGCTGTGACACAAAAAATAAAGTGTTCAGTTTTAACAGTATTCGAAGGCAATTCACAATCATTTCAGGAATTTTGTGAAATTTAAGGCCATTAGTTCTAAATAAAATATATCTGACACAAATTCACAAAACTGTGTATTCTGTAAAAACTGTACATGCAAGATCATTTTATAATTATATATGAACAGGCATATAATAAAATTTTTGGGTAGTCAGTACACAAAGTTGTGCACAAAGCAACATGGCTGTGCAACTTTTAAACCAGGTAATTAACATTATCATTCATGCACCCTGACTGGCAATGCAATTACATGACAATATTAAACCCAAATATTAAGAGTCAGCATCCCTTTGAATGGGCATTCTAGACAAAATTTGTGATTTTAAACAATTTTAAAATGATCCATTATAAAAAAATCTGCCATAATCACTCCAAAAGACTTTTCTGATGCAAAAGTTCCAGTGATTTAAGCAATACATGATAAGGTTTAATGAACTAAGCGATTCAACTATGAGACTCACAGATTTGAGGTAATTTAATTACGTACAAGAAGTAATTCTTCTAATTTGCTTCAGTAACTAGTTTAAAAATCTGTAAACTTGGATTAACTTAGAAACGGAAGAATCTCTGAAAAAGTAAGCATGCCTCCCATTTGAAGTTTGCAGTTAGTTAAGTCATATACAAACGTGATATTCACCTTTTGGGAGCTTATTCTCAAATTGTGAGATGAACGGATTGCTGAGCACTCACTGAAGCAATTCAGTTATGAGGAAAAAAACATATTTGTCATTCTTTTCTTTAGCTTTTCATTTGTATTTGTCTGGACAAACATTCAAAGAGATATTGCTTCTGTTGCGATTAACTGCTGCAAGCTCGAAGACATATGAGTCAATATTCCAAACTTTAAATTTTAAGAATAGTTATAAAAGTACTGAAATTTAAAAATAGTAACATGTAAACATTGATACAGAGGAATAGCATTCCTGTACATATATATATTACACACATTATTTAGAGAGGACAATATCTTCTGAGTTGAAATCCTGACTTGTGCTTTCCCCTCCAATAAATATATCAAAAAGTAGGGGTTTTGTCAAAAAAAAAAAAAAAAGAAGACTCATAACATCAACTTTTTTTTCTCCTAGCATTAGTAGCTTTTCAGTTGCTCATGCAACCATATGGAGAATTTTGGTATGTGAAGTGAAATATTTTAGCTCCAAAAAGTTATCACAAGCTACAACTGCAGCCAAAGGCTCTTGACTTGTGATAAACACTGAGCCTGTTGGAGCAGTCGTCATATCTGAGTCTGTAGTACATGAATAGGGGGTGTATAGGGTGGGGGTGCAGGTGATGGCTTTATCCCTCTGACTCTCATGTAGGACAGAAACTGCTCGGGGATCTCAGCTAAGACATCTTTAGCAAGTCTTGCCATGCTTAATACGTGGTTTCCACTTCTGTCAATGTAATCTCGGAATGGCACAAACTACAAAAAAAAAAAAGTTCATTATGCAAATGAAGAACTGATCCTGTACTATAGAAGTAAGAAAGCTTGGTTTAGAGAGCCAAGGTGCCACCTTTTATATGTATGTGTGTGGGTGTGTGTATGTGTGCACAAAATGCAGCATATATACCTATTGTATATGAATTAAAAAAAAAAAACCTCCAAAAGGACCAATGACAAGCCTTCATCAATACTTCACCAATACTTCATATTCCTAATAGCTCAAATTGCTAATTATGTGATTTTTTGGCTTCCAAAATTTGGCAATTTGTGACTCTAATTTACTTATTTTTGCCAACTGGAATGAACAAAACAAAGGATAACTTTAGATTTTTGACCATCTTTCATTGCATCTTGTAGGTCCCTTTTCAAAGCATATTTCATTTCAAACAAACACTCTTCACCTAAAGTTGCTTTGACTATTTTTCTTTTCCTTCTGCAAAATTAGTAGAGTAACACTATAAAGCACTTCAACACTTATTACAGGTCTCATTATGTGATACCCAGCTATCCCAAGTGCCTAAAAAGTTAGTTATCCAGCTCTGCCATGGAATTCAGAACACTTAATGAGAGACCTATGTTCTTAATATAGAGACCAGAATCATTCTAGGCTTCTTGATCTTTATTAACAACAGACTATATCCGGAGACGAAGTGGGCTAAGCTAACTAATGGGTTATGCCAAAGGGAAAGGTTTATTTGAAATTCTGCTTCTTACTTAGGTTTAAGGAATATATCTCAAGGCTGCAATTGGGTGACTTTTCAAAATTGGGATTCAATGTCTAAAGCTACTGGTACCGTGGTGCTGCGTTATGCTCTGCTGTGCTGGAATTCAAAGGCTAGAGGTGCTTTTTTCCCCTTGTGAAACAGAGACAAGTAATTGTTAGCTGTCATCATGCTGCTCTCTGGGGTGAAACTAGAACTGATTAAGGGAGAAGCCAGATCCCACACATCTCACCTGTCTTTGCTGAACTCTCAAATCAGCAGCCTCTCTCCCACATTATCCCAACCCAAAGAATTTTGCTTTCCTGAGTGCACAGTGACCAAATTCACTTTTCTTAGAAGTAATAAAGCTTTCAACATTTAGGTGATTGCTGAATTATAGGGAGAGCTTAGCTTACACTGAGAACCTGCTATTTTTCCAGAGAAGACAAAAAGTAACATAAGTAATTTACTAAATATATTACATAAAACAACTTTCAGAAAAACAAAAGGCAGCTTTCCAGCAATAAAGAACTTAAAGCTAATTAAGCCACTTTTACATCAGCCTTGGAAAACACAGAAGGTAGCAAAGAAGCTGCAATTCCATAATTAGCTACTTTATTTCTATGATTGTTGACTCTTTGATAAGAAGCAGATACTCTGACATTTACCAATTCTGCCTCCTTTCTTACATGAAAAATAGCATTTGTTTTCTCACACGAGCAGTCATATAAAAAGCATATATGGTCTGGGCTAAGAAACAAGGCACGTATTTTTCCAAGTGATTATCTTACTCACTGGTCTGCAGACATAAAAATCCTGTGCAAAGGCACTGTGCAACAAATCTGCAGAAAATGGAGGTACTTCTACAGTTCTGTGATGATGCAATTATACAATGTAGATGACTTAGATTAGTTTCCCCTCCTATTTCCTAGGGTGTATAGGCATTGGAGGAGCCATGAAGACATAAGCATACACACAGGTACACAAGAATAGCTCGCCAGGGCAAGGACCAGAAGTAGTCAGAAACATATAGAGAAAAGATCATAACGAAAGATGTAAGAAAAACTGAAGGGAAACTGAAAGAATACAGAATGCTTTGTCTGTAACTTTAGAGTTTAATTTAAAAGGCTAATATGAGAAGTGAAACAACAGGTATATAAATAAGAATCTTCCTAAAACTCCTTAAATAGAAGATAACAAAGGTGCAGAAATGAAATAAACTGGAGAACTGGGAGATACATAAATCCAGAGTATCTAAAATCCATACTGAGGAGGTAAAAATGGAAGGTCATGTCTTCACCTGAAATGCATTCAGTAGCAAATGTAATAGATACAACGACTTACTTTTAGTAGGCAAGTTTTCCCACTGTTAATTTAACTAAAATATTTCACGGTACAAACTATTAAAATTAAATGGTTGTTAATTTTACTAACACAATCCACAAAAAGGATAATCTTTTTTATATTTGAGTGGTTAATTTTATAGAAGCAATTCAGCTTTATCCTGACAGATACAAGAAAAAGGTCATGCTAAATCTAAAGGGTTTGACATTATCCCTTTTTATTTATTTAGCCTACAATGCACCTGTTAGTATTGAGGCAGAAAAAGAAAAGCCCATAGAATAATACTGCCTTCAGTTAATTTAATATGACTTGTGGCAAAGTTTTGATTGAAATATATTAATAAATATTTTATGTTTCTGATACACAATGTACCCTAAAGAAATTCAAAACGTTTTTATTGCACATTACTTTTTACTTCTCAGCAGAAAATAGACTGTATCTGATGTACAGCATTTTCACAGTTTTTTTTAATGACATTTGAAGAATTTTATCCATTACATTCTTTGAATGTGCAAGCAGCAGTTTTTGGAGTTACAGTTGTTTCAAAAAATAATGTATACTTGTGCATCTTTAAAGCACACAGAGTATATGGCAAAGATACTCAAATAAAATATCCAGCTTTAAGAAACATATAAATAAAAACATATATTTATATATATATTTTATATATATTTGTGTACATATATATATTTATATATATAAATAAAAAAAATCATAGCACAGAGCTTTGCAGAAATACTAGTTTGGGATCCAGAAGCACTTCCAATTCTGGAAGCAGCTTATGTAGAGCTGGCTGGGGCACCTCCGGAAATTAAGGAATATCTAGTCAAACCTGGACTACCAAGGAGCATTACAAAGTAGGAAATGCTATTTCTTGCCTACTGTTGAGCTGTCCAGCTTCTCCTCATCCTCAATTTTATGATCACTTATTTGACAACACTAATTAAAATATCCAGAATGTTTACTCTGATATCTTCACAATGGCTAAGTTTTGAGATGCTGCCCTTCCTGTAATTTTCTCTGTAGGCTGTAGAAACAAAAAATACCTCTTCTTCAAACATTAAAAAGTAGCCGAAAAAATATATTTCTGAAGTTTAAGTTTTTAAACTATCAAAAAAAAAAAAAACAGGAATCTAATAAAAATGCAATTAAGACAGAAATTGATTTGGTCACCTAAACTAATGTCTTCCACCATCTGAGGTACTCTAAGATATGAGAAATCTGCAATGTTATGTATGGCAGACAGGACATAAAATCTAGGAGATACCCATGGCAGTTATAGGCAAAAAAGCAAGCAACCAACCAAAAAAAATAACCCTAGCCATCTCAAATATACTTTGCAGAAGTCGAAATATTGCTACAAAAGTTGCAGTTTCATGGAATTGACAGGATAAGAACAATGGAGGACACAATAAAAGGCAGCTAACTCTTTAGACAAGGCTATACAATCCCAAGTCTTTAAATCAGTGTGTTTTCAGTTAAAAAACATTTCCTCCTAATGAATATGAATCCAATAACATCTCCTATGTGAACATATATGCATTTTGCAAAGAGATTCTAAGCCTGTTATGTACATCTTAGGATAAATTTTATTGATGCTAAGCTAAAATGAAAAGCAAGAATATGGCTAGAAAAATAATCAAACAAGATCAGTAAAATGTAATTATTAGAATATTTTTTCTCTCCCACCTGCACAATGTCTCTTTCTGCAAACTTTCCTCTTGAAGAAATTCTGACTACATCACCATCCAGTTCTTCCATAGCTTAAAACCAAACAAACAAACAATAAAACACAAATGAGTTCATCCATGATGTCATCTATCCAACAAAAGCATTAACGAAAAATGAAATTAGTCCATTTACACTTCCGAGTCCATTTACACAACCGCCAATTTAAGGTAACTCTTTAGATAATTTGCTCTTTGAAGTGCAACTGTGTAGTAGGAATACAATTCAAAGCTAAAACAGTATTCACAAAAGTACCACATACACTTACTATGTTCTCTAGGCAACTACCTGTGACCTCTGTCAGAGACAAGATATCGGGCAAATCAGTCCCTTGACAAGAACCGCTATGGTCATCCTCACATTTTTAGGGAATGCTGTGCCAAAAGCATCTGCCCCGTCTGAGTTCCAGACTCTTATGAACCTCTCTGATAGCCCTCAGGGGAGATCTAGTGGGTGCCAAAACTATGAGAGAAGTGGCTTAGTCTCTGGGTCAGAGGGCCTGCAGTATGTACCTCCCTACAATCACTTTCTTCAGAGTCCACATCAGATATGGAGTCTGCTGCATTTCCAAGAAGGAACTTCTGCACATATAACAAGTAATCTCTGCACTTGGTCAGTGAGGGATTACACACAAATAGGGAAAATGGGATGAGGTGTGAGAGGAAAATAAGTACTGTAGGACTGAAGTTTGAACTGTTGCAGGGCGTGCGTGGGAATAAAGCTTGCAAGTTCCCTTCTCATGCACCTGTGTAGAAAAAGCTTTTCTCTTACTGCCTGTGCCATACAACCACTTGAAGTGCTAATGTCCAGCTAGACAATGCCATCAAAAAAAAAGAGTAAGATATTTTAAATTATCACTTATATACTGCTTGTCAAACAAGCATAAGAAGGTAAACCCCAGTAATTTTTTCTGCCATTTTTCTTGTTTTCATACTCACAGAATGTGTAAGAACTAAAATGAATAGTTGTTAGTGACTGTTTACATTATATATCTATGACAGCAAATATATTAGAAAAGGCATATCATCTAATCAGAAATACTAAATGAAAAAAAAAAAAAAGGAAAACAACTTCTCGAGGAATAGATGTTTTATGCAAGATGGCACTATGTAAGTTAGTCCAAATATCAGAAGCAACTTAAGTCATCACCGTAGAGAGGCTGGTGTTCTGGAACATCATCTGTTCCATGTTTTAATAAACTTGCTGCTTCCATTCCTGCTGCAATGTTTTCCCTATACTGACAAAACAACGAAACTTGTTCTTGTTATAAAGTGAAGTGAAACCTAGATTAACCCAGATGGCTTCCTCTCTTTTTCTCAGTATTTTGTTAGAGCAATAAGAAGAGATAAATCATTATTTCCAGTCAACTGACACTATACAGGACAGTTAAATACCCACGTTGAAGAAATTCAGCATTACCTGAATATACTCACTTTGCTTTTTTTTCCCCATTCGTCTTCTGGAGCCCTGCAAACAACGAGGCCCCATATGGTTCTAAGATTTGAACAGAGTGCCTGAGGGGCTATACAGCCCCAAATGGTAGCTTGTAATCATGCTGAATTATCAATCAATCCAGCTGGAAATGTCAACTATGTTTATTGCTTGTTCTATATTATGTTCTTTTAAAGAACTTATTTAGTTGAAAAGCTACATATTGCCAAAATACCAACAAATATAAAGCACTCTAGAAAAATGAAACAAATCACACACTTACTGACACTAAAACACTTACCATCAAACTCTGCAGGTCCTACTCCCACTATGATTATTGACATTGGAAGCTTTGAAGCCTTCAAAAGAAGAAGAAAAAGAGAATTCATAAACTACTGAATTTCTGTCAATATATGAGATATGAAGACAATTTGAACAAAAAACACACAGAAATTATTAGGTTTTAAAGAACAATTTTAATTTTTCTTCTTAGAAAGGTAAGGCATTCATTGCCTGCTAACTGAAATAACTATCTTGGATGAAGACAGTAAAGATGATGATTATTTTTGTTTTATTTTTGTTTATAAGAGCTTTGAGTTATATAGGATCATAATTAAATACAACAAATTATGTTAAGATTTAGTATTAAGATGATAACTAAGACGACAAATTTATTCTACAAACATCTGTAAACCACCAATAATTGTAAGCATATACACATCTAGGACAAGTAAGTTTCTTACTGTTTTACAGTTAGACTTTTATTGGTACTTAATATTTTTCACTTAATGAAACAATGGCAGAGATATCTCCCTTTCTCTTAATAAATCTGTATAAAGTCCATAAATTTACAAATGCAGTATCATAAATATCTCAGATCCCCCTGCTCTGATAACAGTACAAGACATCTGCTAGTTCAGAGAAATCATCTGGAACTGGATCTTTTGAGGATAAGAACTTAAAAAAGATCAACAAGGTGTCAGGGTTGACAAACATTCCTTATTAAGACATTCTGAAGTCATTTTAAACAGCAGTATTCATTGGTCAAAAATCACAAAGGTACAGTTTCTCCTAAATTAAACTCTGCTTCACTGAAGTCTGAAATTTGGTGCTTTTAAAATATACTGTTCTCTTTTTCTGTGTAGAATGTAAAAAGTGTTGTTCTGCCTCATCTAAAAGACATTCACTTTTTACATATATCATCACAGTTTCTTATTCTTGATCTGTCATATCATTGCACCAAAAGAATTATAGCTCATTAATACAAACATGTTATTTAAACCACTGAAAATATCAAATTCTGCAGCTCACTAATTAATGTTCTACATCACTTTAAAATACACATCATGTGTTAAAAGTACAATATGATGACTGCAAATTCATTACGAAGTCTTACCTTCCAATTAAGATTTTATAGCCAGGCAAAAAAAAATCCCATTTAGCTAAATATTAAAGGCTAACTAAAGATATTAGTTATTATTATTATTATTGATTATTAAATACAGCATAACTGTGAATTAAAAATTTAGGTTATAAAATATTATAACACACCGTATACACCAAATGATAGCGAGTAGAAAATATATCCAGACATGAAGGCCTCAAGTAAAATGAAATTGAACAGAACTCCTGTTTTTCAGATGTTTTCCATAATCTTTTTGACTGATAGTTAAGATTTCTACTCACACAGACATAGTACTATGTGATCCAACACGTATGAATACACATATACAGGGACAGTGTAAAGCAGAGTATTTAAACTTTTGACTATAAAGTTAGCATTGGCATTTCTCGAATGAAAGCATAACCTTTAAACAGTTTGATAAAACAGAATGTATCTGACACACATGCTGTAATGAGAAAGATGAAAAAAATCACAATTAGTGTTAAAATATAAAATACACTCTTCCTGAGATTTATGCACATCAGGTAGCATCTACCATTATTGCCCTTTTAAATTATTTTTGATATTATTCATTATTGAAAAACATGCTATTCAACATAGAAGCTATGTTCCAAGCATCTAGACTGAACTGAAGGATGAACTTCCAAGCAAAAAGATAAAGTTCTTTTGTAAAGTGAGAGTCCCTCTACCCTATTTTCATATTGGAGGCTGGAAGGAGAGTGGGAGTAGCTGGTACAGTCAAATAGACCCAAAACACAGTGAGTGTCAAAATTTGTCAGGTGTGTTGTCAGAGTCCTCACCAACATACACACACTATCTACATGCCATTGGCTACAGTGCTTGAGGGCATCTTTTTCTCCATGGAAAGGCAGAAAGTTTCAGCATTTTTTTCCTGTGCAACCTACAAACTGGTAGGGGATTCTATCGTTGGAGAAGGTAGTGGAAGTAGGACTTCAAAATCTGCCTTGTAGTTTTACCTCTTTCATTCTGACATGTAGTTCAACTATTTTTATGCAGGTTTTTCACCCACAACCTCGCTACTGACTAGATCTATTTTAGTGTGTTCAAAACTATTGGTATGCATCTTTTCAAACCTTGGCTAGAAGCTGCTTTGAGTATATTTCGGCTGATATTTCTGAGAGGGGAAGGTGAGTAGAACCTGCTCATAAAGTAAAATATGATCTATAAGCATAGTAGTTTTGAAAAGAAACATACTGAAGCTAATAAAGAAACAGAAACAATTTAGAATTTGAAAATGCCATAAGGGTATCTAAAAGGAAATCAGATGACTTGTATGCTTGCCATTTGGGAACAAAGTTCTGGGCAGTTCTTGAAAAGAAAAGAAAAAAAATGCCTGCAATTACTACAAATACAAAGAACAATTCATGCTGATAAACAGCATGGTACGTTGTGCATGATGGTGGAGGAAGAAGAGCAGGAGGAGGCAAGAGCAGATGAGGGAAATCAGGAGGAAATGAATATTAGAAGAGTACCATTTCTTTCCAAATACTATGTAATTATTGAGATTTACATTTTAGTTTCCTCTCACCTTTATGCATAAAAAAAATATTGTTGTTTCAAAAGAAGGCTAAATTATGGATACAGTTTAGTGCCTGAAATGCTAACTGATTTAGTTGATTGTCTAAAATTTTAATGTCTAGGAACATAATCTTTTGAACTTCAACATTTTAAGCAAAACTTACATTCACTATGGATTCTTTAGTCTGAGCCATATCTGAAATAACTCCATCTGTAACAATGAGAAGAACAAAATACTGGGAGCCATCTTTTACTGAAGAAGCATATCTAAAAGAAAAAAAAAAGAACATTATAATAGGAAAAAAATCCTTTTTGTAATAGGAAAAAAAGCCTTTATACAAAGGAACTAATATTAGAAGTTGCAATTTTAAAAATCTATCACCAAGGACTATTAAAAATAATGAGGCACGATTCAGTGGATCTTCAAGTGAATGACATTCGTAATTAAGATGGACACTGTGCTTTTAACTGAGAATATTGGAAAAAAAAAGAAATGAATATAATATTGATGATCTGCACATGTTGAATCAATGAATAAAGGGACCTGTATCAACAGCAGGAGGAGGAGGATCCTTAGCAGAACCATAAGTCCTCAGACTATCCATGTTATTGAATACTTATTACCTCTCTACAATATAGTTTTGTATGAAAGAAATGTATTACTGTTGAATGGTTGTTTTTATGGCACTAGTAAAATTTATCTGAAGTTATCACTCTGCATAAAGATCTCATTAAAGTGTACTTTGTATTGCAAAGAAAGATTACCTGTTGCTAACCGTGTTTTGAGTTTTATAGTTCATCTGCATATTCATAAAATGGTTGAATAAGAACCCTGCCATTTAGGCTTAGATAACCATTCCCTTTGTACCACCCAAAGATATGCTGTAAACACTCAAGCCTCTTCCTGTTCAGTGCAAGAATAAAAGACAAAACGTGTCCTTTGCTCTTACAGTCCCACTTCAACCAAAGAAGCCCAGGAAAAAAAAAAAAAAAAAAAAAAAACCTCTTAAATGAGCAGCTTTTGAAGATTTAGAATGTTCAGGAAGGTAACTAATCTGTAGCATCCTCAGGGAACTCTATGCTTGTACAGAAAAACCTACAACTTTGTTTACTTTCAACTCCCAGGTTCAAAGTACACTATTTATGTGAGCAAACAACCTTTTTGCTTGGAGCAGGCTATAATCAGTTAATCATCCAGACATGCGGCTTTTCTTACTGGAAAAAGGACACCCTCAGAAAACTGCTACTGGAGAGACCATATGAAAGGGAAGATTAAAGGAAGACAGGTAGATCCTGAAGACAACCAACGGATTATATATGTACATGATTTGAATGGTGTGATTCAAATATAGAATAACTAGGTCCAATAATAAATAATTGCAATCAGTTATCTAGCTATGCTGCACTATGTAGGAAATTCCTTGAACCATAAAATTTACAAACTATTTTTTACTGGGCAATAGCAAGAACAGACAGTAAACGAATATTTCTTGCTGTAAGAATGAGCTAGCTTACAAGCTGATATACAAGACGCTAACAGCACAATAACTTACACAAAGATCCTTTCTGCTTTACATGATAAACATGATAAAATTATAAGAGCCACATTCCATTTCCTAGACCCACACATGGAGGTAATACTGTAAGTCAAGATCTCATCTGCTAAAATAAGACATTTCCCTCCTCCAAAAAACTACAACAAACACAGAAAGGGCTTTATTTCAAAACATTAGAGGAGATGATGCATAACCCAACATTGATGGCTCCCCAACATAGGCTTTACTGTTGCCTTGTTGCCATGCCACTATCAGGTAGCAGCACTTGTAGCCAAAGAAAGTTCCAGAAAATTTTGCTGAGGTTCTCAACATTCTGAGATTACAGTCACCGTGTAGGCCTAAAAAAAAAAAAGCACTTTACGGATTTTTTGCAGATTTATGCCTTTTTCATGAAACAAAAGTTCTGATCGCTGTACCTCTCCGGACAGAAAGGCAATATGGCAGACCGATCTCGTCTAATTTTCTTTTGTCATGATTTTTCCTAAGAGTTTACTACGGGGTAAAGCTTAAGCAATTGGGTAAAGTTTAAAGGCTCAAGGTCTTCAAACCTATTCAGAGGCATAAATTAATCTCATTAGAATGCACGCACAACACAACTGTAAACACTTTTAAAAATATTTTAGCTTCATATGACTGTTAAGTCTTTTCTGTGCAAAATTTATACTAAGAAGTTAATAGTTACACTAAGAAGTTCATTTCTTCATAATAACTGTTCTGCTTACCTTGCAACATGATTAATTACAGGGGCAAAGTTTGTTGGTCCATAAAGCTGTACAGATTTTAGACTCCTGTAATATGCCTCCATCACACCATCAATTCCATGGCAGTATGGATTTTGAGGATTTCCATTCTATTGAGAATAAAAGAGACAATTACTCATTAAAAATAATATGGCACAAAAATGGTATAAATTACCGAACACTACCCAATGCTGTGGGTAAATGGTAAAAAAAAAAAAAAAAAAAAGAAGAGTCTAAATGGCAAAAAATGAGCATTTTAGGACCTATTCAGACTGTTCACTATAAATGCACAATATAATTGTCGTGGCTCATTCCTGGTTTTAATTGTCTAGGCAAAGTGTTTCTAGCAATTTAAGGTTACATACAGTCTGAATCACTGGAACAAGTTCTTAAACATAAATACCATCTTAGGTGGAATTAAACAATCTTTCCTATATGCAACAGTAACAGGTATTTAAGGTACAAAATACAGGGTTGATATAAATTTGGAATCAAGTTTTGGGGCAGGGAATTAGTTTAAGAATTTCTTATTTTAAGTGAGTGAAGAAAAAGAAATGGTGGCCAGGTCCTGAAGTTCATTCAATTATCCTAAGAGATTTTAAAAAAAGTTGAAATGGTGCTTTTCACCATTTCACCTTTATCAGTGCAGGGACTACTCTGTCCCAGATGCAGAAGTTTAGTTTTTCCTGTTGCAATTTCTTTGGCCTACGTCCCTTTGTACGACAGCCCTGCACGGTAAAGTTTATCATCCTTACTCCCCACTTTTTGCCATCTGTAAACTTGAAAAGGGTGAATTCCTTCTCCTCCTCCTCTGAGGAAGTTATTAACAGAACAGGTCTCAGAATAAGTCCTCTGCACACTCCACTTGCAATCAGCCTCTGGGTAGTATTAAACATTCAACCACTACCATCTGAGCCTGATAATACAAGCCATTTCTTCAGCCATAGAATAGTGTACCCATCCAGACCATAACTTTCTATCTTAAATACAAAAATACTGTGTTTAAAGTCTTGCTTAAGTCACAAGCAGATGATATACACTGCCTTCTCTCATTCACATGTCTAGATATTTGATCAAAGAAGGCCATAATATTAGTCAGTCATGATTTCCCCTTGCTATATTTATGCAGGCTGTTCCAAATCACCTTATTCTCCTTCAGGTACCAACACCTCATTGGCTTAATGTGCTAATATCTCATTTTGAAACACAATATAGATCCTTGCAAATCTGCAAAAGCAATGTTAAACAATAGTCCTGAAAACACTGCTGAGCATTAAATGGAAGATAAAAATATATGTTTAGATATGGATGAAGGCTAGAGGAAAAAAGTTTGCTTTTTCCTCTGCAAAACTACCCTTAACCTCTCATGAATTAATTTTATTAATTTTAGAAATAGCTTTAAAAATCTAAATGTAACCAAGAACAATTTTCTGTTTTAAGTCATAGGATTGTGTATATTTAAAATTTCTAACTTGATATACAGAAGTGTAAAGAAGGTCTGTGATCTGAATTTACTTCTGCAATTATATCTGTTTAAATTATTACCCACACAGAAAGCTTGAGCTACGATGTGGCACTCATTTCTAGCAAAGGCTAATTGCTGAAATACATATCTAGGATCATCAGTCCATTCTGCCATGCTACCTGGCATGCTGATACCTAACAAAAACTCATGTGGTGTACCTATACTTGCTGTCATTCTAAGAACTTTATAAAACTCTGAGAAGAACAAAGAAGTTATAATAAGCAAGTAGATAAACATCCACACTAATCTAATGCATCAGTTATAATCAACCCATTAATCTTTCTAGGAAATCTAGTTAGATTTCAGTTCTACAATTTAACTGGCACAAGTACAGATACAGTCTCCCCTATCTCATCTTATACACTACTTAGTTATCTCTAGAAGTCTCTAAAACAGCAGCCTGCAAAAGTACAAAAAAATCTCTAAAAATGAGAGAGAGGAATAAGAAAAATAAATGACTATCATGAAACATGATTCAATTGTATATTAAGATACATGGTTTCAACCTGAATACTTTCAAGTATATGTTTCTCATGCTACTACACTTTAGGTTAAAGATGATTACTTTTAGATTTTTGGTCTAAAGCATCTTCTAAACTCTGATTTTCTATGGAAAAAAAATGACGAGAGTTTTTTAGACCTAAGAATTAGCACATTCTCTGTTCTTTGACTGCGCATTAATTACTTAAGACTGCAATCTTAATTCCCTTTTTTTCTCTCTTAATAAAATAAATACAAACAATGTTGAATTACGATGACTGTGAAGATTGTTTAAAAAAAGGCAAGAAACTTACAGGAAAAAAAAAAAGTTAAATCCATTTTCACTTACCAATGCAAATTCATGTGATACTCTTCCATCTGGAGGCAGTCTAGCCCCAAAACCTAGAGCTGGGAACATTTTGTCACTATCATAGTCCTGTATGATTTCACCTACTGCTTTCAGTGCCATACCATAAGCATTCAGCTGGTAGGGATTCATGTAGTGGAGTGACGTGGGTTGTGAAGGGTTTCCTATTGAAACAAGAACCAGATTTGTTTCAAAATTCTCTCATAAAAATGAGAGAAACCTAAGAAAGCAGAAAATGATAAAAAAAAAATTTGGAAAAGGAAACATACTTCCTAGTTCAGAAATGTGATTAAATCAGATAAAAATGAAATGTTTATGAAAAATGCAATGTTTTAATGGATTAACAGTAGCAGTTGTAAGCCTTTTCAGCAAGAAAAAATTGTGATTAGGCTTAAAAATGCATGTTATTTATATATAATGATACACACTTTTGAGACAAAATTTGCATAAGAAATATGACATTTTTAAAACAAATACAGAAGGGTATCCAAATACTTCTCTCTTTCACCCTACTTGAGCCCCACTCCACCCAAAACTCATTTCCTTTATACCTCTCAATGGGCTCGTTGGATTTAGCCAATTTTCTCTCAGTAATAATAATAATAATAATATCAGAAAACAACTAAATATTTGCAAAATGTTGCTTTCCTTATTCTAGTTTCGTATGTAGCTTTTTTAATTGTCTATTGCACTTGTCCTTCTTATCTGGACAGAAACCTGTTTCTACTCAGCTATTGCTCAGGAAAAAGGAATCCTGGTTCCAAATGGTACCAAGTATACAGATAACTAATAATACATTCTAATTTTGTAGAAAACTGATGGAGATACACACACACACACACACACACTCACAAACATATGCAATGTGGAAGAAGTGCTTTAAAGCTGAATACGGTAGACAAATATGCAAGGAACTAATTCTAATTCTTACCATTTGATGCTGTGAAATCAATAGCTACTGTGAAATTGATTTGGGTTCTGCAGAAAAAGCAAATGGAAATCTTATTAATAGCTTTACTGTTATTTGAAAAAATAAACCAGAGATAATATATGGCTCGCGGGCAAAGTACAGTCCATTGACTTTCTAATACAGGAAATACAAATTGGAAATGCTCTTCTATAAGATTCCAGCCAAGATTACATAACACTATCTTTATTAAGATATTGAAAACAGTTATTTCTCTCCATCAATCCTTTTTGTCTTGTTTATGAAAAAATCGTAGATCAACAATAAGGTTAATATGATCCAGTAACATTATTAATTCATTTCTATCAGTAATACTGATTTTTCCTTATAAATATCTTAGTGATCATCAAAGAAAACTTTCATAGGCAAGCATGGTTTTACTAACCTGGACTTTTTATTTAAAAAAAAAAAAAAAGCCCTGTGCTTTCAGTTAGAACACCACTGAAATCCTGCTATGCATATAATTTTTGGACAGGAGATCATAGTTTTTGTCAGGGAATTACATTTATGTGAACACAGGCAATATTTTATAAGTGAGAATATTGAGGTAAATTTTGGAAGGCAGAAATAGAATGGCAAAACAGGAATATAAGGATCAGGATTCTCTGCACTAGCTAAATAAAGCCACTATACTGCTAGCACAACAGTTATTGTCCAAAAAAACCCAACCCAACCCAAAAACATTAATAGGCTTCTGCAATTGAATTAAATTTAGTTCTGTTGAGCAGTTTCCTTCAGGACAAAATACTGATATTCTGGAGATATCTCTTATCTAGTAAGATTTTTAGCAGGAAAAAGAGACTAAATATTTTTGAGAATGGACTTTTGAGTCCTTTATATCCTCCTTCAAATTTTTGCCTGTTAGTATAAACAGGTATGAATATATTGACCAAACTAGCAAAGAGTATAGATCCCTGAAAGAAAATTACAAATTTATTTCATGTTTATTTAGATGAAATCATCAATCTGTCAGCCAGTCTTACAGTAGCGGATTTAATACTCAAAACCTGAAATTCCTAGAGAAAAGTACTATTTAATTTCACAAAAACAGGAGATGAAAACAAAACAAAACAAATTGTCCCAGGGTAATGAAGAACAGTTAATTTAGGTTGGGGTGACCTCTGCCTCCAAAAAGTAGAGAAAAACAGTCCCTCTAGTATCAGGAAGAGTCGTGCAATTCTTTGGAATGCTGTCAGTCTGGGGAAGACCTAGAAAGGCTACGGTCTCAATATTGACTTGAATGAAGAATAGTGAAAGCTGCTGCAGCTCTGAAAAGTTCAGAGACCTAAACTTTATGAAATGACTTTCTGCTAAGATTATTCCAACTTCACCAAAAAGATCTTTCCATGGTATGATAAGTCAGATTTTGTTTGACTTGTACTTGAATGTATAGCCCTGAGGCTCCATAACCACAAAATCCCTCTGTGCCAGCAATTAGTTGCAAGGAATAACAATCCTTAGAAGTTTATGCCAACAAGTTTTCCACCAACATCACTACATCATGTAGCAAAGACCTCAGATAAAAACAAGTTAGAAAACAAAACAAAACAAAAAGCAAATAAACAAAAGCTCATATACTACCACTTCTAGATTTATGTTTGAAGTCCTTACTGGCAGCCTTGGCAAAATTGTTTGGGAGCTGTAATCTCCCCACACTTATTTTCAGTGCTTTGGGGGGATACAATGTTTTAAGAGTAAAACCAGACTCTTGCAAGTAGTACACAGCAAGTACATGAAGTACAGAAATTCTTCACCTGGCTGAGCTGAAGAATATGTCACGGATGAAGAACCCAAAACACATCCTTTACATAAGAACAGCAACGCTTATTTGTAAACACATTTCTTGAATGTGCGATTCTAATCCATCCAGTAAGAAGAAACAGTTTAAAAAATTCTGAAGGCAAGGCAGAGAAAACACAGTAGAAAAAAAATTAAAAAGAAAATGGCTAACAAAAGAAAACAAAGCACAACCAAATTCAAACTACCTTTCCATGGCAAAAAGAACAAACTCAGGCTTCAGCTGATTAAAGATGATCATGAACAGCATCAATTTCTGAAGTATTCCTCAAAGAGAAAACGGCTGATTACAGAATCACACAAGAATCACAGAATGGTTGCGGTTGGAAGGGACCTCTAGAGAGCATCTAGTCCAACCCTACTGCTTAAGCAGGGACACCTGGAGCATGTGGCACAGGGTCGCATCCAGGTGGGTTTTGAAGATCTTAAAATCGCTCTTTACCTTCACCATACTCCCGCTCAGTAGATATTCTGGGGAATACATGGCAAGATCACATCCAGTTTGACTTTGTGTGCCTATCAAAATACTGCTTAAGACAAATGTGACAAATACCTAAAACAATTCAAACATAATTAAAACAAGAAAAATCAAACCACAGTACTTTGGAGTGGGCCTAGGCACTTTGTTTTCTTTCTGAGATAAACTGATGGAATTCCACAAACTGATGGAAAGAGAGAGTTGAATCGAGAAAAATACACCAAAAAGCAGTGGGAGGAGAACAAGAGGGAATAAACAGGGAGGTGAAGGCACCACGGTGGGGCCCTGCTCCCAGGGAAAACCGTGTTTAGATAAAACCTGAAGACAGACATCTGGATGGTATTGGCAGAAATGGTCTTGCTTCGAACGAGAGACAGCAACAGCTCTCAAATACTGCAGGTGATGTCCTAAACAAGGACTGTGTTTTCCTTCCGATTGCATAACTCACAAAAATTCTACCTCCTTTCAAAAATACTTCTCAAAAATATTGAAAAAGTTTTGGAGAAATGTAAAGCAAATCAAGAGTATTTCTTTATAACCTCTAAGACTTTAAAATAACATATGAGACTGTGATAATTTTATCATTCTTAATGTGCTTTTTTAACTTCCCTTGATGCTCAGGCCTACGCACCCTGTTTACCATCAGGCCTCCTCCTCAGGCCTACTACCCCTGTTTAACCTCGGGCTTACTCCTCCTTACTAGCCTACGCTCAAGCCTACTCCATCTTTTCACCTTCAGGCCTATTCGATCTTTTGACCCTCAGGCCTACTCCCTCTTCTTTACCCTCAGGCCTACTTCCCTTGCTTACCCTCACGCCTACTCCATCAGTTTACCTTCAGACCTACCCCATCTGTTTACCCTCAGGCCTTATCCCTGGGTTTACCCCTTGGTTACCCTAAGGCCTACTCCCCCTGTTTACCCTCAGGCCTACCCACCCTGTTTATCCTCAGGCCTACTCCGTCTGTTTACCCTCAGGCCTACTCCCTGTCTTTACCCTCAGGCCTCCTACCCCTCTTTACCCTCAGGCCTACTGCCCCTAGTTTCCCTCAGGCAGCGATTATTTAGGATGGATGTGCCGGGCTGCCCTAATGGTTAGCTCAGGTTAAAATAAGTAGACTCATAGATGGAATCTGCTATTAAATCTAATGATCCTAAGATCATTAGATCTTAGGAACTGTTTCACATGATGCTGAGGAAAAATCAACAATTATTCATGTGAATATTGTGAAAACACTTGTAATGTCTTCTTTTAATGATCAGTTGAATGCTCTTAGAATGAATTCACAATTACTGTAAAAAGGGGGAAAAAATGCCCCAAATCATACAGAAGCAGTAACTGACTGTTTCTTATCTAATTCTACATAGAGTATCAGAAAATAAATGGAACAGTCACTAAGCAGGAAGTATACCTGAAGATTGAAAAAGAAATTTAATAAGAAAAAGTAAGAATCTCAGAAGAATGAGTTATACACCTATTCCCATAAAGTCTTGAAAAATATGGAGACAATATTATCATTCCTGCACAAGTCTCTAAATATCTTAAAATGCAACTACAACATACTAAAAGGGAATGCACTATCTGGCACTTCAGAAATCTTCCCAAAGTTAGCGGCAGAATGTAGGACAGATTTTAGTTGACATGAGTGTCCAATCTACGCTAAGGAAAATGCCAAGGTAATATACCTTACATTCTAAAGGTTACTCCTTTGGAAATATTTTGAAAGGAATATATTAGCTGGCAGATGGAAGAAGAAATCCAATTTTAAAGTGTATGTTAATTTTTAGCACAGCAAACATTTTATTTTTGGCAAAAGTTTAAATGTGTCTAAAATGTGTAAAAAATATGTGACTAACTATCAATGCACAACACAGTGTAATAATATGACACCTACTTGATGTAATATTCAAATCAAAAGTGACCTCCATGTCTTCCCTTCCATACTGTTATAAAATCCAGCATTATATAACAAAAATAAATTAGAACTAAGGGACAAACTTCTACTTCATTCTTCAATCGTCTCTAAAAAAACAGTAATATTGATTCATACTTATGAAAAGGAATATCCCAACTAAACAGATTCACACTCAAAACGTAATTCAAATCAATACTGTAGTCCCAATTTGTCATAGTGAAAGCTGTCAAATTTTTCATTAAATTGATATTAGCTCTAGACACCTCAAATCAATTATAATGAAAGTTCTGAATATGCAGTATTGCCCAAGTTTTCATTGATAGAGAAGTCAATATTGTGTTTGTTGCAGAATCAGTTTTTTCTTTCCCCTGCCCAGCTAAGTGAAAAAAAAGTAGGGAACTAAAAATAAATAAATAAACAAACAAACAAGAAGTTGTGAATACACGCTTGATGGGAAAATAGACTGATTAATTATAGAGTCATTATGGCTGGAAAAGACCTTCAAGATCATCTAGTCCAACCGTAAACCCGTCAACACCATACCTGTTAAACCATGTCCCTAAGTACCTCATCTACACATTTTTTAAACATTGCCAGGGACAGTGACTCCTCACTTCCCTGAGCAGCCTGTTCCAATGCTTCATCACTTTTTCTGTGTAGAAATTCTTCCTAATTGTCTAACCTGAACCACCCCTGGAACAACTTGAGGCCATTTCCTCTTGCTCTATCTGCAGTTATTCTGGAGAAGAGATTGAAACCTGCCTCACTACAACCTCCTTTCCTTCCTCCAAGACCTGTCAACCAGACTAAAATGGAAATGTAATAGTATTAGAGATGAGGGAAGGAAGAGAAAATCCAAGAAAATAACTCAGTCTCCTGGTCATGTTTCTAAAGAATAGAAATGTATAGTTTTCACTTCATGTGTTTAGAATTAACTGTATGAATCATTAAGTAAGAAAAGATTTTGCATAAAATAGTTAAATGATGAGTATCACTGATCATACATTTAAATACAGAGCATCCTACTAAATTATACTGTATTCTTTTATGAAGAAAAGAGGAAAAGATCTTTAGAAGCGGTAATTATTAATATCACAAGACTTCCTCAATTTGCATTTACAGAGACGCGTACAAAATACCAATAAGAATAACAAAGTATTACTTTTATTCCAATTTGTTTTTGTTATTTGTCTACAGAAGGTAGATAATTAGATTTATTAACTTACAACATCTCTGACAGAAATTTGATAACAGGTCCTTAAAAAGACTACATATGCACTCAGCCTACTCTTGTAATTCCAACTTCAAATGTGAAGTTTATGAGAAGCGATGGAGAAGAGGCTTGAGTCCTAACAGAATGAGCAGTCAAAACAAGGCATCCTATGCAACCCCTACTCCTATTAAACTCAAGGATTCCCTATTCAAATTACATCAACACTTGTCCAAGTCAGAAGGGTTCCATAACAGATTGACTGTGACTGTTCATATAAAAAACAGTCAGAAGAACCTCTGTGCTGCAAGTATCCTTTCATTATCTCAAGTAACTATCATTGCCCTATATTACTACTGCCAAAACAAAACAGTCAGTTTTTATTTCAACTGAAGCCTGTCACAAAAGAAATTAGTTGTTTTCTGACAAATAATGAATGATCTAAAATAAATACAGAAAGTATATTCAGACTGTCTCAAAACCCCATACAAAGAAACCCTGAGGACTCTTATATCCAAATAGTTTCGAATTCTTTAGGAAAAAAATCTGTTCTGGAAGTGAGGCTAAAAAAACCCCATGAATTTCTGAGATTCAGTCCCATTCCAAGCATGTTCTAGTGCAAACCATTTTATGCTTCTGTCTCTACTTTCCCTTTGGGAGAGTAATGAAAAAGGAGAAGAGGATGTTATAGATTTGACATAGCTTGTAAGAAAAACATGTCTTTAAATGGTGAAGATTCTAAACAAATTCCAATATTAAACACAGCAAAAGTTAGTATATATTAGGAAGAAATAAAACAACATTTTACTGTATTCATAGTATATAGGTAATTCCCTTTCAGATAATCCATTTTTCACTGCCTGATGAAAAGTCTTTGCTCAACCTTAGTATTTTTGTACCATCACATATTACAACATTATAAATGACATTCTAAATGTATTCACAAACTGTATGACCCAACTTACATGAAAAGCAATCTGTAGTTCTTATGTAATAAAAAAGGTATGGCAACTAAATGTGGAAAAAATACATCTCTTACAGATGGCCATTAGCATCATCATATAAATAAAATATGCACAAATTATAAGTGAATTACACTGAGATTGTGAAAACAAGAAAAAATGTTGCAAACCACATACCCGCCTTTAATATAGTCAAGGAATGAAACTTCTGTTTCAATTAGGAATGAAAGCAATGTTACCTGAAAGCAAATAAATGAGAGTCAGACACGAATCGTCATTTCCCAACCAAACAAGCAGCGACATATGCACAATGTTTTTGGAGGTCTATAGTTAGTTCATAATTTTCTACAGTACCAGGGAAAAAAAGAAGATATAAAAAATACAAAACAATTTCAATAAGCAGTTTTTGACAGGGGAGAGACAAATCTGGAAGTCTACCAGAATTTCTTTTTAACCTGTTCATTTATTTTTTTTATTTATTTTTTTTTTTTGTTAAGTGAAACCATGAAGGTAAGAAGGTAAGGTAGATAGAAGTTAGTATTTCAGGGTAGGTTACCATGTGCATGGCTTCCAGACACTGTACACTGCATCTACACATTAATATTAGAGCCAGACAATAACTCATCTATTCTATATTTTAACTTTGTTTGAAGAATTCACATATATGTCATTTTTCATCACATATTGAAAGTAATACTGAGTACTGATGGAAGCCAAGAACAACAACAAAAACAAAAATCTAGCAAATTATATGTATACATGTAATATGTAAAAATATCTGAAGTGGAATATAATATATAAAAATGTGAACATAAGAAATTTCTTTACTCCCATCTAGCATTCTGAAATTGTATGTATCTAAAACACAGGCACTAGTTTAAAACGTTACTAGCATTTCCAGTGTTTGAGTAACTGTAACTTAAACTGGAGAAGGAAAATGCCACATTCAATATCTTCAGATACTGCATAACATTCACAAAGCAGAGAATTCAATTCAAAATGTTTTCATTTTATTTAATAAGGAACATGAAACTTTCCTCCCAACAGAAGTTAAAACTGCTTAGCTACTCTAAGGAAAAAATATTAGATAGAAACACAAGGAGGAAAAAGGCAGTGCAAACAAGATGAAATTTAAAAATATTCATATGATGCAGATTTGGATCAAGAAAGAAATCATAGGTGGCAATTTTGCCTTCTATCTTAATTCCTTTGTCCCAGGTTCTCGGTGATCCTAAGTGACTCCCAAAGTTTAAAGCCATAAAATTACTTTGCTAGTTGAGAGCAGAAGATCATAACAAAGTCCTACCAGACTATACATAGCACAGTCTTGAACATAAGATTGAAACTGCTATTAATTTTGCCACTGGACACAGTCATTTTAATGGTTCATCAGTTATTACAACAGGTCATCATGTTCCTGTCTAATTTAGGAAAATGTTTTGAGTGAATCTAGTTTAAAAGAGGGGGAAGAAAGCAGACTAGCCAAAATGAGTGAAGCAGTAATAGGTGACCTACCAGTTTTTGCACAGTGAATTTACAATTTCACTGCTTTGTTTGAAACTAATGTTTTCAGAAACATTTCTGGTATGTTTGTTTGAATTTCAAACAATCCTCCAAGTCATAATGAATTGAGATGGTTACTGTATCTTAAAAGCAAAAGTGAGGTAGTAGTCAGTGATCAATATTCCCTTCATTGAAATTTTTGCAATGCCCACTTTCTATTAGTGAGAGTGGTGGTTTGATATATAGCTTGGAAATTTAGACAACTGTGGGACAAAGAATACCTAGGCTGAAGAATGACAGGATGAAGTAGGAGGGACAATGAGGTCAATCACAGCATCCCCCTGGGCAAGCTCCAGAAGTGTGGGATAGATGAGTGGATGGTAAGGTGGATTAAGAACTGGCTGGATGGCAGAGCTCAGAGGGTGGTGATCAGCGGTGCAGAGTCTAGTTGGAGGCCTGTAGCTAGCGGTGTCCCCCAGTGATCAGTCCTTGGTCCAGTCCTGTTCAATTTATTAATCAATGACCTGGATGAAGGCCCAGAGTGCTCCCTCAGCAAGTTTGCTCATGATACCAAACTGGGAGGAGTAGCTGATACCCCAGAGGGCTGCGCTGCCATCCAGAGGGACCTGGACAGACTGGACAACTGGGCGGTGAAAAACCTCATGCAATTCAACAAGGCCAAGTGCAAGGTTCTGCACCTGGGGAGGAATAACCCCAGACACCAGTACAGGCTGGGGACCGACCTTCTGGAGAGCAGCTCTGCAGAGAAAGACCTGGGTGTCATGATGAATGACAAGTTGACCATGAGGCAGCAGTGTGCCCTCGTGGCCAAGAAGGCCAATGGGATCCTGGGGTGCATTAAGAAGAGAGTCTCCAGCAGGTCAAGGGAGGTGATCCTGCCCCTCTACTCAGCCCTGGTGAGGCCACATCTGGAGTACTGTGTCCAGTTCTGGGCTCCACAGTACAAGGGGGATGTGGAGCTTCTGGAGAGAGTCCAGCGCAGGGCTTCAAGGATGATCGGGGGCCTGGAACATCTGCCCTATGAGGAGAGGCTGAGAGTTGGGCCTGTTCAGCCTGGAGAAGAGAAGGCTGAGAGTGTATCAGTGTATAAAAATACCTCAAGGGAGGGAGTGAGGAGGATGGGGCCGGCCTCTTTTCAGTGGTAGCCAGTGATAGAACTAGAAGTAATGGCCACAAACTGAAACAACAAAAGTTCCACAGGAACTTAAGGAAAAAAATCTTAACAGTGAGGGTGACAGAGCACTGGAACAGGCTGCCCAGAGAGATTGTGGATCTCCTTCTCTGGAGATCTTCCAAACCTGCTTGGACACAGTCCCGTGCCATGTACTCTAAGTGATCCTGCGTGTGCAGGGGGGTTGGACTCGATGACCTCTAGAGGTCCCTTCCGACCTTGAGCATTCTATGATTCTATATAGGAAAGTGACACCTTGGAGAAGCATAGAGGAAGCCTGAAGGCAAAGTAGCAGTGAAGAAGTAGAGTTATGAATGTGATACATGGTATGAAGATGAAGGGTGTGGAGGACAAGATAAGAAAGGAAGCTATGAAGCAATCATGGACAGCATGACAGAGGAAAGAAAATTACTATCACCAAACCCTTTATCAGAAACTTCATTGCAATTTGAGACAAAGGATAACAAGACACAGTTGTCTTTGTCAGACAAACAGACCTGACTAAAGAATCTTCTTTCAAATTCAGACAGATATTTGTGAAGTGTATTTAGTATATTTTAGTATACACTATATCTTAGTATAGCTATAACCCAAATTAATAGGAAAATGACACACACAATTATAGCTTTGCTCTTCTGCACCCTGTCTGATTTCATGCCCCATCTGATTTCATGCCAGCAATTTTTTAGTATATTAACTTTCAGTATTGACTTAAAATAATCACTTTTTTCATAAGTTCCTAACTCACTGATTTAGCAAAACAAAACTTTATTCTAAAACATTGAAGTCTAGTAAAAGGAATACATTAGAAAAAATATGATTTCTTGATGAATGGGTACCTAAATGGTGAATTTCCATGGACAACTGCTTTTGCCTATTCTTTTTTCCATTTTAAAACAAAGGTACAGTAAAAATAAATGATCATTTTCCTACTGATTAACTGAGTTATAAAAGAATGCGAGTATGACAAACTGTTCCTTCAAGGCTACAAATCAGAGTGAAAACAGAACTGCTGACCGCAGCAGAACTGTTCATGTGGAAAAAAAATCCATGCTGGATGTGTTTTCAAAAATTGTATCTAAAATATGATTAGACTTTCCTAGACAAAATTCTTCAACATTTACCTTCATTTTTCATAAATATTATTGCAGGTGTCTTGAATGCCGTAACACTGAAGCTGAAATAATTATGAAAAGAATCTTTTGCATTGCTAGCAAGTAATTCATAATGTAGAATATGGAATATGAATAAAAAAGGCAATAAACTCTCATCCAAAATTATAGAACAAGAACTTTTAAATTAAATTTACCAAAACTTCTTAGTATACAAAAAGGTGACTCTTTTTCAGAAGAAGGTTCCAGTGCAACTCTTCTAAATTATGTTAGCTACACTGTGTTTCAAGAGAAAATGAATGCATCCAGTAATATAAACATATTTACTTACTGTTCCAGAATTAATATATTTTTTCTTTTTTCCTTTTTTCTTTGGATTTATTACCTAAAACAAAAATAAATATATTAAAGTTTTATCATTTATGATAAACATTATGATTAACATATAGTTGTTAAGATACTTTCAAGGGAGCATGTAGTCTATTTTCAATAGATTCTAAACCTATTCAGCACACTCCTTGCTCATGCACATCAAAGCAGGGATGTAAATTTGATGATGCAAAACTGGGAGGGGTGGCTGATACCCCAGAGAACTCTGCTGCCATTCAGAGGAATCTTGACAGGCTGGAGAGATGGGCAGAGAGGAACCTCACAAAGTTCAACGAAGGCAAGTGAAGAGCCCTGTAAATGAGGGAGAAATGGGGAAGAATAACCCCAGTACAGATAGGAGGGTTGACTTGCTGGAAAGCAGCTCTGCAGGGAAAGACCTAGGTGAACGACAAAGTCGACCATGAGCCAGCAATGAGCCCCTGTGTCCAAGTAGGCCAAGGCCAAGTAGTATCTTGGGCTTGAGCCCCTGTGTCCAAGTCGGCCAAGGCCAAGTAGTATCTTGGGCTTCACTGGGAAAAATGTTGCCAGCAGGTTGAGGGAGGTGATCCTCCCTCTCTACTCAGTCCAGTGAGGTCACATCTGGAGTACTATGTCCAGTGTTGGGCCCCTCCAGTACAAGAGGGACAAGAAACTACTGGAGAGAGGCTAGTGGAGGGCTATAAAGACAATTAAGAGACTGAGGCATCCCTCATCTGAGGAGAGACTTAAACAACTGGGTCTGTTTAGCCTGGAGAAGAGAAGAGAAGGCTGAGAGGGATCTTATCAGTGTATACAAATATTTTAAGGAAGGTATCAAGAAAATGGGACCAGACTATTTTCAGTGGTGTCCAGCCAAAGGACAAGAGGCAATAACCATAAACTGAAAAACAGGAAGTTATGTCTGAATTTGAGGAAAAACTTCTTGATTGTAAGGGTAACAGAGCACAAGTTGCCCAGAGAGGTTGTAGAATCTCATTTTCTGGAGATATTCAAAACCTGCCTGGATGTGATCCTGTGTAACTTGCAGGGGGTTGGACTAGATGATCTTCCAACTTCAATGATTCTGTGAAACATTGCTCTAAATTTTCACAAAATTCTGCAGTTTTCTGCCCCAGTGTTACAGCGTAGTGGGTCATCACTCCTTAGTCTTGCAATGAACTATTTCCATTCTAGCTCATTTGTTTTCATCCTCGCTATTATTTGAGAAACAGGAGAGTTTCTGCATTTGGTGCAATAACAGCTTCTGTCTGACAGAAGAGCAACTGCAAGGAAAGAAAGGCCCAGATCATACTGCCCCAAAATGGAAATGAGCTAAGTCACTTGATGAAAATGGCCTAGACCACCACCTGGTTGGTATTGCCTAGGCTCAATGATCTCGCAGTATACATGAAGCTTCAGAGAACTATCAAGCATTAAATAGTTTTCTTGAGTATTTTCAACTCATTTCTGCAATTTTTTCCACTGCTGACATGGAAAAAAAATATTTCCCTTCTGAGTATCTATCCATTCAAAGGCAAGTCTCAGTCAGATTCATTACAAATGCATTAAAGATTTTCACTTTTCACCTTTTTCACTCAAAATGGTGCATGGAATTGGAAGCAAAAAATTATTTTGTTAATTAGGTTGATCAACCTTCTCCTGTGCAACCATGAAATTCAACTCTTTGTGGCTTACTGCCAAGTTTTACTGTAAACTACTCACAGATGTTCTCTAATTGACAAGAAATGAAAAAATCCCAGTAGAAATATTGGCCACTTAACTGCTATAAAATATTTAAACAATTATGCCTGAAAAAAATAGTAAACTAGGTCTTCGACAAATCTCCCACCCACCCAAAATGAAATTACAGTTAAAGATTATATTCCCTGTACAACAAAGAACAGCTCTAAAATGTAAGGCAGAGCTATAAGAAGACCTCAAAATATCATTTGAGATCTCCAGAACAGGCTATATGAGAGTGATTCTGTCTTTCCCTCCAATATGCTGCATGGTTATCTCTTCAAAGCTTTTATTGTCTTACACGTAGACATAGGCCTCCAAGCCTTTTGAGAAAACCCCATCACTCGCTCTACTTCTTAATTAACAGTGGCTCGATTGGTGAGCAACGAATTAAATCTATGTAGTATTGTGCACAATGCAATAATTCTCGTTGAATCAGTCTTAGCCAGAAGGTGCGTCCTGCTGATGCTTGCCCAGAATAGGAAGATGAAGGTAGCAGACGGCCTGCCTGCCCTGTGGCCCTTCATTCACAGCTATCCAGAATCCAGTGGTCAAGCCTGAGTTAGCAGCACATGTCTTGCCAGAAGTCATTAAGGGCCCAAGAATAGATTAATCTGAATCTTCTGCTTCAGATAACTTGACAATTAGCTTCTTCAGAATTGCTGGGAAATGCACTGGAGTTTAAAGTGAAATATTGTGGAAAACAAGGCATCTACTTCAGACCAAAGATTACCTAAAACACAGCTTATCTCCCTCGTGAAATTCTAGGTACTTTAATTATGATAAATATTTATGTTCTTTGTTTTTGCTGAAATTTCAGATAGCTTTATAAATTAAACTTTTTCTTTTAACCTCTGAAAGGCACTAACCTAGAAAACCACAAGAAATCTTAGATATTAAAAAAGGCAATTGGAGAGAGTTTGTTATAGTTATATTTCTAATTGCAAAAAATAGGACATCCAGTCAAGCACAAATTTCTCTGCCTTAGGTCAATTTCTAAATGCAAAACAATCTAAAAGGAATTTGTTCAACCCCTTTTGTTCTGATCTTCCAGAGACTGATCTAGCAGAAGCAATAACAAAGCATAAAAGACTGTGGTGTGTGGGGGATTGTGGTGTGGAGGGTAAACACAGGATGCTCAGGAAAAGGATGCTTTTTTTTTTTTTTTTTTTTTTTAAGAAAAAAGTCATTGTTCAACAGGAAACTGCAAATGACTGCAATGTTACAACAGAGTATTCCTAATAGTCAGGTCAGTCATGCAAAAAGGAGTCATAATCTTGCTTATACCATGATTAAATTAACTGAATTTCTCTCACTTCTGAAGCATCCTCGAGGAAAAAAGAATTGGAAAGAAAAAAACCCTCTGGTTGTAGTATTAAGAATGCTTTTATAAAGACATTTGCATAACAGCCGGTCAGTAGTTTCCCCAGTCTGCATTCAAACTGGAGTCTTAATCTAGGAATCGATTCCACTATGAGATGATTCCACTAGCAGAATGGATAAAGAGACAACAAGAGTGTACTCCTTGAAACAGCTAGTTATGGAACTATTCCAAAAACAGCCACAATCCACGTGAATCCATAAGTCATCAGGTGGCAATACTTAGCAAAAGAATCCAGGGATGCAATTACCTTGAGGGTACTGGAGGAAAAGAGGAGATACTTTATAATGACAAGACTACACTAAAGGGAGACTACACTTTTTCCTTGACAAAAAGAGTCCTACTTTCTGAATGGCATATGTGACTACTGCTGATAGTCCCGCTGGGAGACTTAGATAATACTTCTTCCTGGAAAAAATAGATAGGGTTCTTGGTAATCTTGACTTCTGCTAACATCTGAAGGCCTGGAATAGTGCCACCAAAAAAATACAAACACAAAATACCAGGTCCAAGGCAGAAAAGAAATTCAGCATGCGAGAAAGAAGAAACACTTTCAAGGACAAGCAAAACAACAGAATTATAGGCAAGGAAGTACTGAATCTCTAATTTTTCTTCATGTCCTATGCTTGGTATGCATTACTCAAGGTTTAGAACTACTGATCAAAGGTCCCATTTCACTCTCCCAGGACAAGAGGGCTCAGAGTAAGATAGCATTTTCCAAAAGAAGACTGTGTTTAAAAAGAACAATTCTGTTGGTAATTTAACCCAGGAATAGGCATTTATACTGTGGTTTGATGACAGCAATCTATTGCATGAGGTTGAGAGTCAAGGTTGAACCTAAAGGATGAAGGTTCCAAGAACCCAAAGCAAAATGAAGGCCATTTCTAGTATGATGTGCTAAGGTCTTTCCTGTGTCTCTCTCAGAACTTTTGGCAGACACATGCTACATTCATTGGTTATACTTAAGCTTATTACAAAGGAGACTGTATCCTCTTCAACAAGAAAGGAAACCATAACTAAACTCAGAATTACAAGGAGAACTGACCAATCATGTGTTTAGTACCATTTATAAACATTAGAAGGGGCTAAGGATCTTGTATTTTATAATTGATTTATTTTGTATAATGCATCTATCAAAGAGTTACATAACAGCTCATTGGTGTAAATCCTAAAACATGCATTCTAAAACATCCACAGATAATATATAGATCTTTAAATTCACGACTGTTACATGAAGCACTCTATAAAAGGTTTCTTGTCCATGCTATCTAGGAGTCTTGGGACAACAAACACAGCACAGAGTATACTCTGCCTAAAAGGTAAATTTTATTCATGCTGTATGAATCCTAAGTGATTTAAAAAATACATAGAAACAATAAGGTCTAAACAATGAGAATGAAATTTATTGGATAGGACTTCAGAATGTAATAAATTTCCTTAGGAAGAGTCTGTAAGTTGAAACCTCTTCTTGGTGACAGAAAAGCTTTTTTAAAAAAAGTTTTTTTTTTAAAGCTTTAAAAAAGCTTTATTTATTTATTTTTTACATCTTTTCTTCCTATTCCCTCTCCTTATTTAATACATTTTGAAATATCACATTACATCTTTCATTCCAGAATGAGCTTTTAGGAGGTATTAGCTTAAAAATGAATTTTTAATGTATAAGTCTCATTGCTCAGACTTTGCTGTAAAGTTTTGGTGCCCAAATCTGAGATATTTTTGAAGAGACCTTTCCAAAAAAAAAAAAAAAAAGTTTAAAATAGGTACCTTTATGACATCCTAAGTTTGTGCATATCATTTTTTTTTTTTCGCACAAGATCACTGGTTGCTTGTGTGACTAAATCACCGCATATTTTTAAAATACAGTGAATTTGATTTTGGAAAAAAATCCATATTTTTGCAAACCTTAATAACCAAGATTGCATTGGGAAAGAAGTTTTAAATTAGTAATTTATTAGAACTGGAATATATAAAGAGCCCTGCACAAGTCTGACAACATGGAGGAGAAAAGTGAAGAAAAAGAATATTAAAAGGAAGCTTGGTTGTAGTCTACAATTAACTACAATACGTAAAAAGATCTTACCACAGTTGGAAGGAATATAATAAAAAAAACATTTTACAGATGAACTCAGTGAAGTCTAACTTGATACCAGATGCAAATTTTTAAGCAAAGATATATCTGATCAGAAAAAAAAAAAAAAAAAAAAAGTAGGGTTGTTTGCACTTCTAATTCTAGTATCAATACTGGGTAAAAATCTGCTCCTAAAACCAAATGCATATGAATATACTTCTCATGTAAGAATCACCAGATATTCTTTGTCTCTGAGAAACTAGCACACAAAACACAATGTGTAATAATTGATAAAAGGAAAAATAAATGTCAAATTGATCAGAAACAAATGGGAGTAAGCAGTGCTTGCCCTAAGTCATGCCGTATCAAGCCAGCTGCATGGGTTGGTACAAAGCAAAACACTTAGACCCTCTGTCCTTCACAAAAGAGGAAATGCAAACCAATTCCAACAGTTTAATTCTAGCAAGCACTGTGTGAACTGGATCAATTTGCCATTAAAATATTAACACTTTGTCATTTATTTCATTGAAGTGAATGAACATACTTGCAGTACTTACCTCATAAACATTGAACTGAGATTGCCCTCTAGACAACTCTCTATAACTTGTTGTGAATTCTCCAATGAAATCATGGCTGCATTAAATAATAATAATAAAATTTCAAATCACATGCACAATATTTACTAATTTAAATATGCATTGCATATATATGTATAAAAAAGAGAAACAGTCTATACAAACTGATATCTGAGAAATGAATAATGGCAAAACATATAATTTGCCTAAATATCTGCATTTTCATTCTGTTGCATGTTCACTCTACTAGCAATAATAATTTACAGATGAAAATTATTAGATTAAATCTTTCTGAAAGTTCCTGCTCAAATTACCCAGCCACATAATGAGGACTAGGGTGTAAGTTTGTGATCAGTCTTACAGAAGATAACAAAATTTAAAAAGCCAGAACGAGCTATCAAAGCTTAGAGAATCTAAAAAGCCAGAACAAGTTATCAGCATATTCTCACTGGATCACCCTTGGCACCACAGATGGCAAACACCATCACCCGACTGTGTGTGTGACTATGTGAGAGAAAGGAAAGTATTAAGGATGAGAAAGGAGTAATTTGCACTGTAAAAGACAAACCCTACAAATTTGTCCAAGGTGGCTGCCTAACAGGTAGTCATGAGACCTTCTATTCCCATTTTCCTCTGCCCTTCCCAGCTGATGTTTTCTCCTGCTGCTCCAGCTCCTATTCCCTCCTGAACAAGTGTCCTCTGTTTTTGCAGCTGTTCCCTACCAAGGCATTGTAGCTCCTCTATATTCTTCCCTAAACTGATGGATCGTGCAACTAATTTATAGTTCTTTACTTCTCCTCCAATGGTAAACTAAAAGGGAAAG